GGGGGTGGTGTGAGGGCAGGGACTGAGCTGCCCCACCATCCCCTTTCTGCTCTTCCAGTTCAGCAAAGGAGGGACGAACCGTCCCGCCGTCTGGATCGACACCGGCATCCACTCCCGGGAATGGGTGACACAGGCCAGTGGTGTCTGGTTTGCCAAGAAGGTACAGGCCACCTCCAGGACACCTCTGGTGTCCCCAAAGGGTCAACAAGGTTCCTGCAGCCCCCTGGTGGGTGCCAGGTGGCCGTGGAAAGGGGACGGAGATCTGGTAGCACCAAAACGCCATCCTCTCTAGATCGTCCTGGATCATGAGAATGACGAAGGTCTGGCCGCCCTCCTGGACAAGATGGACATCTTCCTGGAGATTGTCACCAACCCAGATGGCTTTGCCTTCACCCAAACCAAGGTACCACCCTGGTTTCCTTCTCCCCAGCTCCTATGGCCCTGCTGGATGGGGCTGCACATGGAGACGCCTAAAAAGCTCAAATCTGACACGTCCACGGGGAAGGAGGGGGAACCACCATGACCCATTAGCCCTTCTAAGATGTCAGCCACCTCATTCACTTGAGGCTGGTGGAGCTCCCACCCTGACCACCACAACTTGAGACCTCTCTGCCCTTCCAGAACCGCCTGTGGCGCAAAACCAGGTCCAAGCACTCGGGCTCCATCTGCGTCGGCGTCGACCCCAACCGCAACTGGGACGCAGGCTTTGGAGGTCAGGGCTCTTCCATCCACCCTTCAGGTGGAGGCTCTGAGGCCGTTTCTCCATCAGAAAGACCCACTGATGTCCTCTGAGGGATGGGATGTGGGTTTGGGCTCCACCAAGTGCCCACCATGGTGGAGACGCCCAACGCGAGGAGGAACCCCAAGCGCGTTCCTCGCTGGCCACCAACCAGCTGAAGGGTGGGGAAGAAAAGCTCTTGGGCTTGGAAATGGGAAAGGCCTGAGCCATCCAAGCCACCAAACCAACCACGCTGTGTTTTCACATCCCCCCACAGGATCTGGGGCCAGTGGCAACCCCTGCTCGGAGACCTATCGCGGCCCCTACGCCAACTCGGAGCCCGAGGTCAAGTCCATCGTGGACTTTGTGAAGAGCCACGGGAACATCAAGGCTTTCGTCTCCATCCACAGCTACTCCCAGCTCCTGCTCTACCCCTTTGGCTACAAGACCACCCCAGCCCCTGACGAGAAGGAACTGGTAGGGCTCCCGGGGGGGTTTGGGATGATGTGAAGCTGCTCTCCTCCTGCCAAGGGGAAGCAACCTCCATCGTGACAGGTGAAGGGGAAATTGGGCAAGATGGGAAGAAGGCCTGGATGCTCTGTCAGCCCCTGGGGGACTCCCCCAGGTCCCAAGAATCCTCTCCTGCAGGACGTGTCCCACAGGTTGTCCCCTCCTCTGGCTCATCTTGCTCTCTTCTGTCTTCCCAGCACGAGGTCTCTGAGAAGGCGGTGGCAGCTCTGACCTCTCTGTACGGCACCAAGTACAAGTATGGGAGCATCATCACCACCATCTGTGAGTGCTGGGGCAGCAGGGCCAGCCAGGAACCATGAGCCACACCATGGAGTGGGTTGGGTTGGAAAGGAAACCTAAAGATCATCTAGTTCCAATTCCCCTGCCATGGGCAGGGACACCTCCCACCATTCCAGGCTGCTCCAAGCCCCATCCAACCTGCCCTTCAACACTGCCAGGGATGGGGCAGCCACAGCTTCCCTGGGCAACCTGGGCCAGGGTCTCCCCACCCTCACAGCCCAGAATTGCTCCCTCACATCTCAGCTCCAGCTCCCTCTGCCAGCTGGAAACCCTTCCCCCTGCTCCCATCCCTCCCTGCCCTTGTCCCAAGCCCCTCCCCAGCTTTCCTGGAGCCCCTTCAGGCACTGGAAGCTGCTCTAAGGTCTCCCTGGAGCCTTCTCTTCTCCAGGCTCAACACCCCAACTCTCCCAGCCTGGCTCCAGAGCAGAGCTGCTCCAGCCCTCCCAGCATCTCTGTGGCCTCCTCTGGCCTCTCTCCAACAGCTCCATGTCCTTCTTGTGTTGGGGACCCCAGAGCTGGACACACTCCCCCCCACAGACACACTTCACCTTACCCAGAAGCTCCCATGAGTGAGGAACATTTCTCATTCCCTCCCTTTCTTCTTCCCCACCTCCCAGACAAGGCCAGTGGAGGAACCATTGACTGGACCTACGAGCAGGGCATCAAATACTCCTTCACCTTCGAGCTGCGGGACACGGGGCGCTACGGGTTCCTGCTCCCTGCCCAGCAGATCATCCCCACTGCTGAGGAGACCTGGTTGGCCCTCAAGGTCATCATGTTCCACGCACGGGACAACCCCTACTAACCAAGAATTGGGAAGCCCAAGTGATGGTGGGATGAGCTGTGGTGGGAAGAGGAGGCAAGAAATAAAAGTGATGAAGGCTGAGAAAGGCTTTTTGGTGGTTGGTCCTGTTGTTTCAATCAGCTGGGAAAGGTTTTTTGTCTGGGAGGCTCCACGTGGCAGTGGCCACCATAAGCTGCAGGCGTATCCCTGTCCTGGATTCATTCTGGATCAAAACCAGGACACTCCCCAAGGCCTGGAAATGGGATTCAAAAGGGGCATGAAAATGATAGGATGGAAAAGAAAGTGGGTTGGTTTTCCTTCTGTGTTGGTGGAGGATGGAAGGGGATGAGGTTTGGTTGGGCACTTACCAGGTAAAGAGGAGACCTTGGATGTGGTAGCTGGGCTGGCAAGGAGGGGTGTCCACTTTTTCCAGCCTTGCCAGGGGTTGGGGCAGCTCCAAGGTGGGTCAGCAGGATTTATTCTGGGTGTTTTTGTGGTTAAACGTCGACTTGGAGAGCTGGTGGAAAGGTCCCTCCTCACCTGCTGCAATGCTGGGAGGAAGGGGAGCCCAACCCCTGTGCCTGCAAGGTCCTGCCCATGGGTGGGGGCAATCCCAAGCACAGATCCAGGCTGGAAGGAGAATGGATGGAGAGAAACCCTGAGGAGAAGGACTTGGGGGTGTTGGGTGAGGAGAAGCTCAACAGGAGCTGGCTCCGTGTGCTGGAGCCCAGAACCCACCCTGTGTGTCCTGAGCTGTCACCAGCAGGGTGACCAGCAGGGCCAGGGATGGGGGGATTGTCCCCTCTGCTCTGCTTTGCTGAGTCCCCCCTGCAGGGCTGGGGCCACCTCTGGGGTCCCCAACACCAGAAGGACATGGAGCTGTTGGAGAGAGGCCAGAGGAGGCCACAGAGATGCTGGGAGGGCTGGAGCAGCTCTGGAGCCAGGCTGGGAGAGTTGGGGTGTTGAGCGTGGGGAGAGCCTGGCCCAGGTTGCCCAGAGAAGCTGTGGCTGCCCCATCCCTGGCAGTGTTGAAGGGCAGGTTGGATGGGGCTTGGAGCAGCCTGGGCTGGTGGGAGGTGTCCCTGCCCATGCAGCAGGATGGAACCCAAACTATTCCATGGTTCCAAGGACATCCAGCCAATACTGGTTTGGTGGAAGCACCAATTTGGCGAAAGCCACAATCATTTCCTATCAAGGCCTCATGCCCTGGTCAGACACCACATTCATGGTCACTGGGAGGTTCCAGGAACCCTGGTGAGAGGGCAGAGGGAAATTTCCCTTCAGTCACCCAAACCTTGAAGAAGCTCCACCAGCAAGGGTGTAACTGGGAATGAATCCCCCAGCCTTTACCAGGCACTGGAGCTGCTGAGCTCCTTGCTGAAGAACAGAGTGGGCCTCCAAAAGGCTTTTTAGACAACAAACTGATGTTCTGCCTCTTAACCTCAACTTGCAGCTGCCCCTGTGATGGTCAGTGCCTGGTTCCTCCATGGAGGCTGCAGTTTCCTGCAGCTCCAGTGACCAGGAACCTACTCCAGCAGGTCAGGAGAGGAGCAAATCCCCAGTGCACAGTGGAACTGGGGGAGATATTTTGCCTGCACACCAAGAAAAAGGGGGCAGAGCAGATGATGTTGCCGTAAGACTTGTCACCTAAAACCCTGCTCAGCACATCTTGGCAGCTTTACTCTTTTATTTAGAATTAAAACCCTCCACAGCAGAACAAACACTGTTAGAAACCAAACCTTCTAAGACCAGAAAGGAGAAGAGAAGGGGGGAGGAATAAAAAAAAAAACAACCCAGTTCTTTTCTCCTCCAGGTCACCTTTAAAACTGCCCAGGAATGAACACGACTCTCAGGTTGGTCCCACACTGGGAATTCTTTCCCAAAACACAGAGTTTTCTTATAAATACTTCTGCTCATGAACATAATTCCCTTAAAAACCAAAGAACTCATGGGATCCTCCCCCCAACGTTGGCAAGTTGCTGAGGGTCTGAGCCTCTGCTGCAAAACACCAGGGGTTGTGCTCACAGGTGATTCCTGGCCCATTTTTCTCCTTCCCTGTTGGCCCAGCCTGTGTTTCTGGGCACAGCACAGAGGGAGGGGTTGGTGCAGACACAGATGAGTTTGTCTGAACGACAAGGTTGGTAGAACCTACTGGTCACACAGGCTTTCCTCCCAGTTCCCTCCCACCTGGACAGAACCAGTGATCTCAGCTCTGTCCTGACCCTGCAGCTAAAAGTCAGCCTTGCCAAAGTGATCCCGTTCCTGCTTCTAGGAAAGGTCAACCATGTCCAGCTCCCTCAGCCTCATCTGAGCTGCCAGTTGGGAGCTGCTCAGGGTTCCCAGAACCTGGACATCCACGTGTTGGGTGGAAGAAGAAGAAGAACCTGTTGCTTATTTCCATGGTCGGATCTGGAGGTTGTTCTTTCTGAGCGGGTGGGAGGGGAGGGATCCCACTTTGCCACTGGTGTTGCTGGAGCTGCTCCTGGTGGTGGTCAGCTTGGAGTCACGGCCTGAAGAACCACGGCTGAGACGGGCTGGAGGGGGAGAAAGGAGATCAGAAGCTGTTGGGTGGTGGAGCACCAGGACACACACCTGATCTGCTGCTCTGTGATCGGACCACAGGATCATGGAAGGGTTTGGGTTGGAGGGAACCTTAAGGATCATCTAGATCCAACCCCCCTGCATGGGCAGGGACACCTCCCAGCAGCCCAGGCTGCTCCAAGCCCCATCCAACCTGCCCTTCAACACTGCCAGGGATGGGGCAGCCACAGCTTCTCTGGCCAACCTGGGCCAGGGTCTCACCACCCTCACAGCCCAGAATTTCTCCCTCCCATCTCAGCTCCAGCTCCCTCTTCCAGCTGGAAACCCTTCCCCCTGCTCCCACCCCTCCCTGCCCTTGTCCCAAGTCCCTCCCCAGCTTTCCTGGAGCCCCTTCAGGCACTGGAAGCTGCTCTAAGATCCACCCATAACTCAGGGGGTGGTTCTGGGCAGCCTCTATCAAGCTGTGCAGGCTTAAAAATCTGAAAAATCATAGAATCCCAGAATGGTTTGTGATGGAAGGGACCTTAAAGATCATCTAGATCCAGCTGCCCTATGTGGGCAGGGACACCTCCCACCAGACCAGGTTCCTCAAGGCCTCCAAACCTACCAACCACCAGTGGAACCTAAAGACATTTAACTAGATTGGGCTGAATGACACAAGGAACCATCAGCAGGTCCAGGATTTTGCTGTTATGCAGCCACTAAAGTCCTCTGGAATTGGGATAGCAGAGGTTTTGGTGGATCTCCCAGTCTGTTTAGAGAAAACTCTCCCTCTTCCAGCAGTCCCATGGGAAGGGACCTGGGAGAGCAGAGATCTGCTCCAGGGAAGGCTCCAGAGATACAGAGCGTGGCTGCAGCTCTGGTCCTGGGCACTTACTGGCAAGGTCTGAAGGGACGTGTTCCTTTTCTAGGTAATACTTGATCTTCTGTAGATCATCTGCAGAAAACCTCCACTTGTTCTCAGCACGAGCAGGTGGCACTTTGGGAGGGACCTTCTTGTGGGCAGATCCAGGGGGTGGTGGCACCAGGCAGGACACGGGGAGGGAGCCAGTGATCAGACCCTCTGGGATCTTCTGTGCAAGGACCTTCAGGCCTGCAGACACACAGATCACATCTTAGCAGTGACCCCCAGCTCAGAGGGGAGCAGGGGAGACAGAAAAACACTTGACAGAGCAGAAGGACATGGAGCTGTTGGAGAGAGGCCAGAGGAGGCCACAGAGATGAAGGGAGGGTTGGAGCAGCTCTGCTCTGGAGACAGGCTGGGAGAGTTGGGGTGTTGAGCCTGGAGAAGAGAAGGCTCCAGGGAGACCTTAGAGCAGCTTCCAGTGCCTGAAGGGGCTCCAGGAAAGCTGGGGAGGGACTTGGGACAAGGGCAGGGAGGGATGGGAGCAGGGGGAAGGGTTTCCAGCTGGCAGAGGGAGCTGGAGCTGAGATGGGAGGGAGAAATTGTGGGCTGTGAGGGTGGGGAGAGCCTGGCCCAGGTTGGCCAGAGAAGCTGTGGCTGCCCCATCCCTGGCAGTGTTGAAGGGCAGGTTGGATGGGGCTTGGAGCAGCCTGGAATGGTGGGAGGTGTCCCTGCCCATGCAGGGGGTTGGAGCTGGATGCTCTTCAAGGTCCTTTCCAACCCAACCCAGTCTGGGATTCTACGATTCCAGCTCTTCCCAACCTCCAGCTCCCACAACGTTGCTCTCTGCTCTCCACCCACCCCCTGGAGGTCTCAGGGAGTCCTGCCCAGCCCAACTTACCTCCAGACAACATGAACAAGTTCTCAAAGCCCCTCTCACACATGGTGGTTGCAGCCTGGCTTGCCAGCCTCTCGTCGTTGTCATACAAGATGATCATTTTCCCATGTGCATTTTTCTGTTGGGCACAAGAGCTAAGGCCTTGTTCCTGAGCTGAAGGTGCTGGTTCCTACTTTTTGAGGGAGAAGAAGGGACACAAACAACCAGGGCTGGACACTCAGACACTCCCTGCTTGACTTGTGAGTGTCAGGCTGGGAGGTTTTTCCCTTCTGTGGGGTTTTAAAGCTGATTTTTCAGTGCTTGGAGCTTTCCAGAGGTTGGAAGGACACAACCCATTCCCCACTGGGTGTAGACCCAGCAGCAAGTGTTCACCACTGTTGGGAAGGTTGGTAAGAGCCAGAAGCACCTGAATTTACACCCTCCCTATTCCCCCTGCAGCCCTCAGGAGTGACCAACCTGGGAGATGATCACCCAAATGGACTTGATGAACACATCCCTTGAGAAGCTCAAAGCTCTGGTGACAACCTAAGGAGCACAGCTGGGTCTTCCAGCAGCCAAAATCCCAAGAAAAGCCAAATTCAGGCAGGTCCCCAAAGAACTAAGAGGCATCACAGCCTCAAGGTACCAAAATCTGGCATCTGCTGGTGGCACTGGAGCCACGAGAGGTAATTCCAGCCAAGACCTCCCCTCCTACCCTCCATGGAACCCCCAGATGTTGCTGGTCAAAGATGGTCTTAACAGATGAACTGCTCTAGCTCTAATTGCTTTTGGAATTTCCCACCAACAGCCTCCCAAAAATGGCTTTTAACACCTTTATTCCAGCCCTTGGCAGGTCAAGGATACATATTCCAGAATATTGCTTGTGTAGGGGTTCATGGTTCTGGCCAGAGTTGCAATTGGGTAGGAATAAGCTGCAGGGGAGGAGAAGAAAAGAGAAAATCATCATGCAGTGGTTGAACAGCAACCAACTCACCCCCTGGGACACACCTGAAGGGCTTGTGGGAGCTCAACAACCTTGGAAACCCACTGAGTAAAGGATTGACATCAGCTTGGGCCCTCAGGCCCTTCCAGGGAAGATGGGTACACTGGATGTTCTGGGGTCCCCAACACAGGAAGGACATGGAGCTGTTGGAGAGAGGCCAGAGGAGGCCACAGAGATGCTGGGAGGGCTGGAGCAGCTCTGCTCTGGAGACAGGCTGGGAGAGTTGGGGTGTTGAGCCTGGAGAAGAGAAGGCTCCAGGGAGACCTTAGAGCAGCTTCCAGTGCCTGAAGGGGCTCCAGGAAAGCTGGGGAGGGGCTTGGGACAAGGGCAGGGAGGGAGAGGACA